GGGGGGGGGGGGGGGGGGGGGCTGAGGGAGCCGGGCGAAGAGAATTGGTGAATTAGCCGGTGGTCCTGCCTGGTCTCGACGTTTCCCCGTCTGGCTTCACGGGAACGGGTCGATTAGGGGACGACCTCGAGAAATTAGCATAATACCGGTTCACATGTGTTCCTAATTCTACGGGCAACCCACAAATCTTTGTGCTAGGATTCAGCTGGTCCCCGGATGAGCCTACCCCAATCGCTAAGAAGGCAAACTATAGTAGTGTTAGTTATGAGGAAAAAATCGTTTCTTGTCAATCAGGGAGGAGAGGAAACATCGTGTCCGTCAACTTTTTTGAATGGCTGGGAAAAAATCTGACAACCTGCAGATATACGTAGTAAAAACTTGTAACCGGTCTAGAGATTGACAGCCGAACTTCTTTCCCGAATTTTTTTGTATTCTATTTATTCTATTACTTTTTTGCTTCTTTAATAGATGGGTAAGGAGCTTCACAGTGCTGACTTAGAAAGTGACTTGAAATGTATGTTTCTATCCATTTGGAGGTAGTTTTATAAAAACAAAAGCTGTGAAACTTCCTTTTTCGAATTCTTTCCAGTTCTTCCTCTTCATCGTTATGATCAATGCTGCATTCCTTCGGTTCATGGCAAAACCCGTGCAGCTTTTTGAAGTCCTAAAGTACCGGCGAAAGGTGTATGTCATGTAAAGAGGAGGTGAATTTCTCATGAATCGAACGAGCTTGGAGGAACGGAATCGCTCCGTCCTCTCTGAAAAAGCCTTCCCGGGTTTGGTTTTGCCTGTACCGTGTTGTTATTTGTGGTTCTTAACTTATCGAAGGGCTCCCCACGGCATAGTCGTAGTTAGCTGGATGATGCAAAACGAGATGTTATACGGTGAACTCTTGTGCAGCTGTACCAAAAAGTCGCCAAATCTTTTCAGGGCCAATATGTCGAAGGTCAAGTGTTTTCGAAATTTAGAAATAAATTGTAGAGCTCTCTATCCAAAAAATCACCGATGAAGTCTCGGTTTTTTTGATCGTCTGGCTGAAGGAAATTTTTCCTAAAGAAGGTTCACTTGTTTTTGGAGGGCTGAAAGGAAGCGAGCCACATTCCAACCAGCGATGGTGCGGTTTTTCTGAGTCGTCTCACTTTTGAGTTCCACCATCAATTTCACCGCTCCAGGTCTCAAATTTTCATGAATTTCGGTGATATAAGAAAAGAAGGGGTAAGATTATGTACCCGTGAATCAGGTATACTGAAAATGAAACAGAGCCGAGGTTTTCTTGAGAGAATGATTGGAAAATTCTTGATTAAGCTGTTC